TTCGCCTGTTCACAGGGTGGGTGTCGGTGGGTGCCATCGCTTCGTTTAAAGATAGTAGGGGACAAGGTTGCTGAAGTGACGCTGATGACTGGCTTTGGTCATGAAAGTATGATGTGCACGCCGTGAGGAAGCTCTTCTTTCAGGGAAGCGTGGCTCCCAGTCACCTCTCCCTCTTCGCAGATGACATGGATCCTCCCAGTGTGACGTCGAGTGCCTCCCAGGGTGATGCTCTTACGGTGATCTCTGGCTTCTGCAGGAGGTGGCTACTGCAGGGGACTGAGCCCAATCGCGCTCTGTGTTTCTCTTTACCGCTGCCTGAGGAGGATGCATTCTGGCACTGTGCAGCTCGTGCAGCGTGAGAGGAACGTCCCTGGCACGGGTAGGTGGAAGTCTGCCTCAAGATCTTCATTGCAGTATCCCGGGGGCAGCCACGCCTGGGTCAGGTGATCTCGGCTTTCAGCGGGTCACCTTCATTGTGCCAGCTTGTTGGGACCTTTAGGATGTTCTGCTGCTGAGCCCACCTTGTAATTGGATTTTTTCGCGGGAACCTGAACCGCAAAGCGCTGATTGCTCATACACAAGGGTAGACCTGTGGGCAGGAGTTTTCAAACTTACACAGCAAATGAGTTTTCCATGGTGTTCTGGAGATCACCCTTTGAGAAACACTTTGACAGTGAATCCAGGCCCCAGTATCCAGCAGCTGATCTAGTGAATTTTGTGGAAGCTCAGTGAACACCTGCTCTGCAGGGTGCATGTGAAAGGGGAGAGGATGAGTAAGCTGCAGATAAAGAAGACAGGACACAGGGGGTCTGTCGAAGCTCTATCCCCTGCCTTCAGCACTGATGGATCAAATCCAACTCTGATGGAATGGTGGTCACATTCTGGGCCAGCCCTGGGCTCTGAGGATCTGACAGTGAGTGACACAGAGCCAGGCCTTGCCCTTGGGAGAGCTCTCCAGCGTACACCTCCCTCTACCCTCCCGGCGCCCTGCAAAGCAGGCGTCAATGTCATTGTTAATGCACAGAGGAGGAACCTGATGGTTAGACAGGTTGATGGGTTTTCCAGTGTCACATGGCTTCTGACCTAGTTGGCAAGGACTGCAGAGTAATGTCAGGACCAGGGCCTGGTGCATCCTGGTGATGTCACCACAGAGCAAACACGAGTTTGCTGGCTGGGTGGATTCTTGTCAACAGAAAGATACATGGATTAAAGGCAAATAGGAGCGAGATCCCTGGCATGGAAACAGGAAGAAGTCTGGCTGCTGGCTCTGTTTGGGAGTTTGCTTATTTATTCTATAAAACAGTTTTACTGATAGTAGTTCTCATACCACACAACTCACCCATTTAAAGTGGACACAATCTAGTGCTTTTTGCTCCATTCACAGAGCTGTGTGACCATCATCATAAGGAATTTTAGAACATTTTCATCACCCAGAAAAGAAATGCTGTGCCCCTTAGGCAGTCACTGTCCCATGCCCGCCCTCTTCTTTTTAGTCCTAGGCAACCACTAATCTACTTTATGGTTTGCCTGTTCTGGACATTTCATACAAAGCAAATCATATAATATAAGGTGTTTTTTGACAGGCTTCTTTTACTTAAGCATAATGTTTTCAAGGTTCATCCATGTTGTAACATGAATCAGTACTTCTTTCTTTTCATCACCAAATAATATTCCATTGTATGCATATAACAGTTTTTTTATATTCATTAGTTGATAGACATTTAGGCTGTTTCCACTTTTTGGCTATTTTGAATAATGCTCTTCTGAACATTTCTGTGGACATATGTTCCGTTTCTCTTGGGTGTATACGTAGGAGTGTAATTGCTGGTCATGTCGTAACTCTGTGTTTCACCTTTGGAGGAACTGCCAGACTATTTTCCAAAGTGACTGCACCATTTGATATTCCCACCAGCAGGGCAGGAAGGTCTCAATTCCTCTCACCCTCACCAACCCTTGTTTTATTTCTTTCCCAGTTAATCCTTTTATTTCACTTAAAACATTTTCATTTTAGATTGGGGGTACATTCACAGGTTTGTTACAAGGGTACATTGTGTGATGCTGGGGTTTGGGTTTCTATTGATCCCATCACCAGATAGTGAACATAGTGCCCAATAGAAAGTTTCTCAGCCCTTGCCCCGCCACCCTCCTTTTGGAGTCCCTGGTGTCTATTGCTCCCATCATTGTGTCTGACCAACATTTGTTATCTGTTGCTCTGACTGCAACCATCCTAGTGAGTGTGGAGTGGTATCTCACTGTGGTTTTGATTTGCATTTTCCTGATGACAATGATGTTTAGCATCTTCTGATGTGCTTATTGGAAATTTGTATATGTTTTTTGGAGAAATGTCTATTCAAGTCCTTTGTCCAGTTCTAACTGGGTATTTGTTGTTTTATTGTTGATTATAAGAATTCTGTATATATTCTAGTGGGGTGTCTTATTTTAATCTTTTTGAAATTACTGTTTTCTCAGTCATACTCACACTCTCTAGAGCAGCAGTATGTTTGAATCTAAAGAACACACATAGGTGAGTTTATCAGGAGGTAAAAGTGCTTGCAAACTGGTACGATATTGTTACATTAAGTCTGCAGATTGTTTTTGGTAATAAGGACATTTTAATAATAGTAATTCTTCAAATCCATGAACATGGGATATCTTTCCATTTATCTGTGCCCTCTTTAATTTCTTTTATTAGTGTTTTATATGTTTCAATAATTCTGTATCTTGATTGTAGTGGTGGTTACACACATCTACATATGTGATACACATACCAAATGCTGATTTTGACATGATACCCTGATAATGTGAGATGTGACTATTGGGGGAAACTGGGTGAAGATATTCAGTTCTCAAGATCCACATTGGGCCTGATCCAGCCCCTGTACAGGCTCTCAGATGGTGTATAATTCTACTTCCTGTGAAAGAGACAGACAGAGGGACCAGGCCCTGGGAAGAAGGGTGGGTTTGGCCCTGAAAAGGGGATTGGTGAGAGTAGGAGGGAGGGGACCCAGAAGGTGTGCTCTGTTTTATTAGACACCTTTGTTTGTTTCCATATCTTGCCCACTGTCTACAGACTTATAATGAGTAACTAAATGAATGACATCAAAAGCTGAGCCCTTGGTGTAAAACAGGCACTTTTCTTCAGTTCCAAAGTGCCAAAACCCATCCAATTGCCTCTGGACCCTGGTCCTCTGGAAGCTGGAAGGAGGATAATCATGCTTTTCCTAGAAGCTCCAGGCAAGCTGCCAGTGTTTTGGGCATTTCATCCCTGCAGCCCTTGCCTGGGCTGGACCTGCTGCCCCAGGTACGTGTAGCCCTGGTACTAACCCCAGGTACTGTACCCCAGGTACAAGTTAGCCCTGAAGCTTCCTGATGCAAGCCACTGAACGCTCAACTCAAAATGGCTTGAGCAATAATGAAAAGTATCCTTTCACATAAGAGGAATTCTGGAGGTCAGGCAGTTCCAGCGTTGGTTCATTTCCCAGCAAAATTTGGTCATCAAGTACTCAAGTTCTTTCTACCTCGTCTTCAGTGGATTGGCTATCCAGCTTTTCATATTTGCCAATCTGATACATAAAAATGGTATGTAATAAACAAGATATGTAAAAAATGGCATGTGATAATGTAAAAAATGGCATGTGATAAACAAGACACAAGTTTATTGACAGTCTGGAGCAGTCACTAGTAGGCAGGGTTCTGAGAAAATACTCGGACTCTTCTTGCCCCAGAAAGCGTATCCACCAAATCAACTCCTGGGATCTCCAAACAGACTGGATTAAAAATGGAAAATAGCAAAGTATCTTGGCAGAGAATTCTGTCTGACTTAGTCAGATACAAGATTTTTTTTTTTAAGTTCTTGTCTGGTTTCCTAAAACAAATTCTGATAAACACCCCTAAGAATCCAAAGTCAATTGAACACAGAAAGTTTAAGGCAAAGGAATTTCCCTACATCCTGCCAGGAAGAGGAATGTTTACAATCTCTGCACATGGCCTAACACAGCTCCCCTAAGAACAGGCTTTCCTTGTTTCAATTTCCATTAAAAGAGGAGCATAAGTACTTATCTATTTACTTACTTATTTATTTATTTATTTATTGAGACAGAATCTTGCTCTGTTGCTCAGGCTAGATCTTGGGTCATTGAAGCCTCTGCCTCCCGGGCTCAAGTGATTCTCATACCTCAGCCTCCAAGTAGCTGGGATTACAGGTGAACACCACCATGACCGGCTAATGTTTGTATTTTTAGTAGAGATGGGGCCTCACTATGTTGGCCAGGTTGGTCTTGAACTCCTAGCCTTAAGGGATCTGCCCACCTCGGCCTCCCAAAGTGCTCACGCCTGTAATCCCAGTCTCTACTAAAAATACAAAAATCAGCCAGGTATGGTGGCATGTGCCTGTAGTCCCAGCTACTCGGGAGGCTGAGGCAGGAGAATCGCTTGAACCCGGTAGGTGGAGGTTGTAGTGAGCTGAGATGGCGCCACTGCACTCCAGCCTGGGTGATACAAGACCCTGTCTCAAAAAAAATAAATAAATAAAAATTATTTTATATTTGAGAGGGTCCCAGTTTAAATGCCATTTACTACCCACAGTCTTTAAATTTCCTTCCTTCTTTCCTTTTTTTCTTCTTCCCCGGTAACAAGCTGAGAGATTTAAGTTTCTTGACAAAGAAAATTATTAGGATTTTTTTTCTTTTTCTTTTTCTTTTTTTTTTTTGGTGTGTTAACGTTGAGGGTGAAATGAGTGGATGAATGGTAGTGGAATTATCCAAACTCAGTAGTTGCATCAGACAAGCCACTGAAAAATAAGAGGAATCCATCACTTGCTGGTTCCTTGTGTGTTACGGATCCAGTAACTTTTGGCTATATTTCAATACAGGAAATGGGAAGAACTCTAAGGCATTCCCCAGATGTTCTATAAAATGTGCGCATTAAAACATATGACACTGGCTTTTCCAGTTGTGGTGCTGCATGCTGAGGATCTCTTATCTACGCCCATAGCCATGCGGTCCAAGGGCCTGCTGCAGTCTGTGCAGGTCTTTGGATGGAAGAGGATGGCCACAGCCATGGCGGGCTGCAAATGTGGCAATGGCCTCATCGAAGTGAATAGGCAGCCCCTAGAGATGATGGAACCATGCACGCTGCGGTACAAGCTGCTGGAACCAGTTCTGCTACTGGGCAAGGAGTGATTTGCTGGTGTGGACATCCACGTCCTAGTGAAGGGTGATGGCCACATGGCCAAGATTTTTTTTTTTTTTTTTTTTTTTTGAGATGGAGTCTCATTCTGTCACCCAGGCTGGAGTGCAGTGGCACGATCTCGGCTCACTGCAATCTCCGCCTCCCGGGTTCAAGCGATTCCCCTGCCTCA